TAAAATTAGTGCACTGGAAAAGTTATTTTGTTTTACTATGGAACTATCTGTCTTTTCATTGTTAGGACTTTTAAGAATACTAAGTATGACCAATCCAGTACTAAGGCAGATGAAGAGTTTATACGTGCTTTATAAGTGCTACTATATGTTTGAATAGACTAAATTCTAGCAGATTTTGCAGTGATGAGTATCTTATTGAATCCCGAAAGAAACTCCAATTTAAGTGCATAAAATGCAAGTGTAAGACAGGAAGAGCAGCAATTATTGGTAGGTGCAAAGTACTGCCTAGACATTTTGCAAATCATTCTTCATCCATTTGCTGTGAAAGAGCAATCCCTTTATGAGAAGATCACTAAGCTATATTTTCGGCGTCAGCAGCTGCGCAGGTTACTTTTACCGCGCGCGAATTCGCGCAGCCGGCTAGTAGATTGAGACGGCGCCATTTACTGGTCTAAGAGCGCTAACCATACTATGTTTCCGCTACGCGCGCACGAAAAATCTTACTTAGCACTTCATAATGAAATTTCTCCAATTGTAAGACTTTGACTAATTATTGAAGAAAAAACAACCACTACAAAGAAAACTGCACACCTTTCTTCGCTCTCGCAGTAAAACTCCTTTGTCGTCAACCCTTGGTGAGCTAATGCCATGTCTTACATGATAAGCGGCGTACGGATCATTGGGATAATGATGGCGTCGTAACCAGTATGGTGTCATCATCTTATCCAACATTTCGCACTCTTCCTTAAAACCATAGTCATACCCTGCTAAATGAAAACAAAAGAAGGACGGCTTTGCTTGGTTTTTTTTTGAACAGGATTAGCTGAGCAGGTTCAACAATAACGTGACCGCCTGTGTAAGTCGACAAAAGTGGGAAGCACTCCGCCGACTTCTTTTTCAGTTAAAAAAAACGAACTTTTGCAAATTTTGAATGCTGAGAAAAATACCGTCGAACAGCACACCCACCTTTGTACAAGTTTCATAGTACAAACTGGTCTCTTGAAACTTCTTGTCCTTGGCATATCTCAATTTGTTCTTTCCAGGATGGGCCCGTACCCACATACCGTTGCCTAGTCTTTTGAACCTGAATGGAAGGCTTACTACAAACAAAGCAGCTACTAACATCTTGACATCGCTTTTTTTAAACATTTAGGAAACTACTCGAAGTGACTACTGGAGTTATATTATACCTATATAATTGCCGAAGAGTTTTGGAATAGGCAAGAAAAAACCATATACAAACTCACAATAAATCACGGGAATGCAAATCGGATCGAAATTAACAAGAAGCTAGGCTTTAATGGAAAAGAAAAGTTACGAAAGGTGAGCGCATTGTTAAGAGAAACAAAAAGTTCAACTACAAAACAAAAGCACAACTATAGAAAAGCGATGCTGCCAAAATAAAAAAAGCTAACCTATCAAGGACGTCTTGAGCAGGTCTTTTGCGTCCTTCCTTCGGGCTAAATCTGATGTG